GTTTGGAGAACCGGTTGTTGGAAGAAATCTCCTTTTGTTTTGTTTTTCCACTTTACAGGGCTAAGCCTGTAAGGAAGGCAGGACGGAAACATTCTAGTGTTGTTTGTAGCCTAATCTTTATTGCCCTGCTTACAGAAACTGCCTCTCCGGTTAACCCTTATTACATTGTAACAGCTAAGGTGAAGAGTGAGTGACATTGAGTTGGCCACACCCACCCAGTCACATGACCACCGACCACCACCTACCCAGCTGGTCATTAGGGCAGAAAATCGTTTGTTAAATTATTTGAATCCCACCACTGATACCAAGCAAAAGTGCAAAGAGAATTCCAGTGCACCTAGCCTTTATTTTGTGGCCTTTCCTCTATATTTTGTCCAATTCTGTAAGAACAGGGGTGTCAAAGGCAAGGATGCTTAGATTGGGCCTGTGAGGCTGCCCTGGAGTCTCCCCTGAGCTTTGTTTTCACTGGCAGAGAGCTGCAGGGGGCCATCGCAGGCAAAGATGGAGCCCTGACAAGTGATGTCGAACTGGCCACGCGCTCCCTGGCCATGTCCACCCCAGACCCCCGAGATCAAATACAACCTCAATGAAATCAAGTTTGACACCTGTGTATTAGAGTAAAATTGCATGGCAGGATCTGCCTGTCCAGCTCCATCCCATAACAACTCCAAGTGCCAGCAAAGGGTTGATACAGGTAGTCCTCAGAATAATAGAATAACAGAGTTGGAAGGGACCTTGGAGGTCTTCTAGTCCAACCCCTGCTCAGGCAGGAAATCCTATCTCATTTCAGACAAATGGTTGTCCAATCTTATCTTAAAAACCTACAGTGCTGGAGCACCCAAAACCTCTGGAGGCAATTCGTTCTGCTCATTAATTGTTCTGTCAAACTGTCCTCAACTTACAACAGTTCATTTAGTGACTGTTCAAACTTACAACGGTACTGAAAAAGTTACTTATGACTGCTTTTTACACTTATGACCCATTGCAGCCTCCCTATGGTCACTTGATCAAAATTCAGACGCTTGACAACTGACTCATATTTATGACGGGCGCAGTGTCCCAGTGCATGTGATCACCTTTTGCGAACTTCTGACAAACAAAGTCAATTGAGGAAGCCAGATTCGCTTAACAACTGGGTTACTAACTTAAGAACTGCAATGACTCACTTAATAACTGTGGCAAGAAAGGTTATAAAATGGAGCAAAAATCACTTAATACATGCCTCACTTAGCAACAAAAATTTACGCTCAATTGTGGTCATAAATCAAAGACTACCTGTAACAGTCCTGTCCCCCCCAATATTCCTCTATTGGAAACCCCAGGGAATCTTCCTCCTTCTAATATATCTGGAGAGGATTGTGATTCAGTAGCACCATTTCTGGTCACCTTGTTTTGAAGGAGAGGACTATGGAAACCATGACAGTGGGGGTAGAGGGCCAACCTTTTTCTACCCCTACTTTATGGTTTGTGCACAAGGTTAGCAGAACAAAATAAAATAAACTCTAACTTAGTGCCATAACTGACCCTGACACAGTGAAGAGTTGATACGGTTAGAAGAGATTCTTATGATATTATATTCCTGAATTGTAATCTATTTTTCTCTTAATTTTTAGTTGTCATGGCTTCGTGGAAGAAAGGACTTATTGTAACCACAATCCTCCTGATTTTTCTTGCTGCTATAATTACAATCATTTGGTTGAATTGTCGTTTGAAAGCAAAAGGTAAAGCCTATCTTCAAAATCTTTAGTTCTTACTTGATTAATGAATAGTACAGAAACCTTCTTTGGAACCTTTTAGTTGTTAGAATTCATGCTGCATTTCCTAACGAAAGAAATACAAGAAGACCACTTCCACCTACTTCAATTAATACTTTCTTTGTCCGAAGTAAATTTGTGTTTCGTTTGTCCTGCAGTAGTGCTTCTGCTGATTGGCTGGAAAGTTAAATTTGCAAATGCACCAGTGGTGGGATTCAAATAATTTAACAACCGGTTCTCTGCCCTAATGACCAGCTGGGTAGGTGTGGCCCGGTGTTCATGTGACCATGTGGGCGTAGCCAACTCAAAGTCACTCACGTCGATGGGTGCTTTGCTTTAGCTGTTACAATGTAATAAGGGTTAACCAGAGAGGCAGTTTCTGTGAGCAGGGCAATAAAGATTAGGCTAGAAACAAAACCAGAATGTTTCCTTCCTGCCTTCCTTACAGGATTAGCTCTGTAAAAGTGGAAAAAGCCAAAAGGAGATTTCTTCCAACAACGGATTCTCCAAACTGCTTAGAAAGTTAACAACCGGTTCTCCCAAATAGGTGCAAACTGGCTTAATCCCACCACTGAAATGCACACATAATTATAATGTCAGTAGATATGTCAGTGAATATAGTGAAAATGTTTATGGAGGCTTTTGTTGTAGTATGGGGAAAAACTGAGATGACGGAAGAATTCATTTGCAAGTTGAAATGGAGAAGAGCATTTAAGTTTACGAAATGCACTAAATTTTCTAGGCATTAATCATGGATTTTGCATGCCAAGCTAACACTAATCCTAAATATAGTTGTCTTGGTCTTGGATTAACTCATTTAAGATTATATCTGAAATTGCTCAGTATGAGGTGTTCAACAAATTATAGTTGAACATGGCTTAGAACATTTAATATTCATTCACAATTCTAAAAACAAACAATTAGCCACCATGTTTTTATGTTTTGTAAACCCAGCTCATGTTTTAATATTTTTATTGAAAATGTTTACAGCAATAATAAGAACTAATACAAACTATGGTAGAAAAGAAAAAGGAAAGCAGGAAAGTGAAAGAGAAGTGGGAGGAAAGCAAAGGCTAAAAAGAAAGGCAATAAGTAGACAAAAGTAAGAAAAAGGAGAAAGATATAAAGGCAGATATAAATAAATGGCTTCCAATATTCTTCACAGCAAGTATGTGCAATTTTGTTTTAACCTTTCTCTCTCTCTAAAGTCACATCTTTTTTTTCATTTTTTGAAAAAAGTTCATAAGGGGTTTCCAGTCACCTGTGAATGTAGATATTGTCCTTTCTTTAATCAAAGAACTCTGCAAAGCCTGTTATCCCCATATAGTGAATATTCAGTTCCATGTGACCCCGGAAAATTAAATTAATTAATTAAATACACCATGACAAATTAACCAAGGATAGCATATTTAATGAACTATCACTGTGCAAACCCAATTATTTTAGAAATCTGGGTGAGTTGTGTAATTTGAAACAAACTTCATTTATGCAAGTTACAGATTTATATCTTTAAAAGAAAAAAAATACCCCAGTATATTTGAAGATACCCAAAATAGTGTTCTGATAATTCCATTGATTGATTAAAATTTGTATCTGGTAGCAAATAGTAATTGAAAATATCTGCTTAGGTAGGGCATGAAATTCTTAAATAGTGCAGTTTTGTAGAAATCTCCTATTTAAAACTATGTGATTAAGGAGATTTTTGATTGTCAGTAGAAAGGATATGTGTGTTATTTGTAAAACTAATTTCTGATAATTGGTTCCCTATTGGTTATAGAGAATTCTTCTGTTTTGATCCTCTAGTCTAGCATATTTTTACAAATGTTTTCTTGTAAGTTTTTTAATAACTGCCCCATTTGCCATTTTACATGGCCCCACTTTACAAATTCTATTGTTATTTTTGATAGCTACGATGATGAATTATTCCTTAAGAAATAAGAGAAAACTAACATGGGTTTAAACTAAGATCCATCTGCTTCCAGAATTCTTTGTGCAGTGTTAGAATAACAGTATGACAAGTACTTTTCCTCCATTCATTTGTTTATACAACTGCCTTTCTGTTTATGTACTGCAACATAGTAATTTATTGTTTTTTTCCCCCCTTATCAAGCAAAAACCATTTCTACGGAGTTGGCTGTGTAAGTTGGAATTCAAATTATTATTGATGATATATGTATATCAATGATGATGATGATGATGATGATGATGATGATGATGATGATGATGATGATGTCATCCATTCAGTCATATCAGATTTTTGGCAATTCTATGGGCCAGACTCTCCACATTTTGCACTACTTCTTTGAGCTTTCCTGTGCTCTGGCTGGTGTCAGCTTTGATAGTGTCCAGCAATTGTGTTCTTTGGTGGCCTGGTTTCCTTTTACCGCTAACTTTTCCAAACATAATTGCTTTCTGTATGTATATCTTACAGGTAGCAATAAATAAATTCCTAACGCTGTTCTGTAGGAATGCCCTCATTGATCTGCCCAAATGGACGCAACAAATAATTGAATTGGTTAGTTAAATTATACGAATGTTTTGCGAGCATTAGGAAAGTTTCTACTATGGAAATGGTCCATTGGGAGTTTTAGAAATATTGAATTAAGAATATTTGGTAAAGAAGAAAAAACAGAGTCAGACATTTTCCCAATTAATTGTATAGCTATTCCTCCCCAGGGAAAAGGTGAAGAGGTGATGAATATAACAGAGGGCTAGAAAAGTATCAGGAAGAAACCTCAATAGTTGCCTTCTGCTAAATGGGTATTTTGTGAGTGGGCGTGTCAGCCATTTCGTGGAAGAGCCTATAACACGATTGTAATATTCCTGAATAGATTCACCAGTACAGAAAGATTGCCTATATGGCAGGGATCCCCAACTCCCAGGCTGTGAACCAGTACTGGTCCGCAACCTATTGGGAACTGGGCTGCGGAAACGGTGGGCATGCGTGTGAAGCTTCCACTGCTACTGATGTCTCTGCTGCTGATCCATGGAGTCAGAAAGGTTGAGGACAGCTGCTCTATGGCATCAGAGGAATACACAACTATATTTCAGTGACTTTGAGTAATCCTATGTGTAATTTGTAATGCAAATGCCTCTTTATTTCTCTTGTTCTTTTTCATTTTAGATCCAAAAGAGGAACCAATTCAGTGGATGGGAAACTGACAACAGGACACAACAATGAAGAAGAATTCTATTATGGTAAGATTATTTGCTTTCTTAATGCCCATTATAGATTTGGGCACGTCCTCACAGAAGCTATGAAATGCTGCCATCCATTGTGGACATTGGCCTTTCTAACTTAATCTGCCCTGGCAACAAAGTAGAATAGGGATTTGGTCTGCACCAGAGAACATCTCCTTTCATGCCAGCTTCTGGTAGGAGAAGACCCACAGGACTTCTGTGGTTAGGCTACCTGTCCTATGAGTGATCATCCAGAGGCAAGCGAAGTGGGAAAAGAGAAACAGACTCAAGAGAACTGGCATCAAAGCTGCTTTTCTCCCCCACTTTTTTCTGGAAGTAGCACTGCCCATGGTTTTACCAAATAATTTGCTTCCATTTCATCTCATGCTAGCCATGGGTTGAGAGAGAAGTGAGAGCAATAGCATTTTGGCACAGAGAACTGCAACACTCCTGCGACCCTGAAAATCAGTGGCTAAGGACCAGAAAGGGGACATGCCCACAGCAGCCACCACTGGTGGCTCTCACCCCGGGGCTTGGTCCACTTTAGATTGATCAGATAATACAGCTTGTGCTCAAAGAAGCTGGTAAACACAACTGGAACAGATGAAGCCTCCCTCTTGGTGTTCAATGTTGAAAATGTTGTTGGTGCCTCTCCTCTTAATTCACTTGGCAGATCCTTTCCAATCTGTAATTAGCAGATCATGTGGAAAAATCATTTCTTTTTAATGACAACATAATGACAACATTGCCAAGATGACAACAACAATGATGGCCCAGTCTAGGTCCAAGATCATTAACCCCTCTTGGCCCAGTGTTAATAGTTGTGTTAATGTAACCAAACATGGGACAATGATGGGGAATTTCTGATGGATGCATTTTTTCCAGGGGTAATTCCTTAGAGACTACCCGTAGTTGATACCGGTATAGTTATAGTTGAAAATAAGGAATGACAGTGATCAGAATCTGAAATGGGTAATTTGTCATTTAGGTTATAATGAAGATGGCGAAAAAAATCACATCAGTGCAAAAGAGGATAATAGAGGTAATATCGTTGTTTGGGTTTCCACATAAAATGTTAACTTTTTAGCTTAGTGCCTTTCTCAACTTGTATCCACCTATGGCAGTAATGGCGAACGTTTCTGTCCCCATGTACCGAAAGTGTGTGTGCAAGCGGCCCACACCCATAATGCAATGCACCTTGCCCACCTGCGCATGTGTGCACAATCCCCCCCCCCATGCACACACAACACACACTGCACGGGGGGGGGGATTTTTGTCCTCCGCAGACTCCGGAGGCAAGAAAAAAAAATTATGTGTACCGAACCAGCAGTAATAGCAATAGCAGTAGACTTATATACCGCTTCATAGGGCTTTCAGCCCTCTCTAAGCGGTTTACAGAGAGTCAGCATATTGCCCCCAACANGGATATGAAATTATGAATTAGTACTTAGGTCGGTCCAAGTAGCTATTCAGAAACTCTGGCATTGAAGCATGCAAGTCTTAAAGCTGTCACGTTACAAGATCCTTGCCAGTGGTGGGTTTCAAAATTTTTTGGAACCTCTTCTGTAGGTGTGGCCTGCTTTCCGGGTCCAGTGGTGGAACCTCTTCTAACCAGTTCGGTAGATTTGACGAACCGGTTCTACCGAATAGGTGCGAACTGGTAAGAACCCACCTCTGCTCCCAAATCTTAACTATGTATTGTGTGGAGCTGCGTGTCCTGCATGCTGATTGGTTGATTTGTGTTGGGAGGCAAGTGGAAAGCAAGTCACATTGTTGTTTGAGCGCCCCCTAACCAACAAGTTAACATTTACAGAAGTATAATGCAATAGCTATGCCACTGTCTCCGATTAACAGACGCATACGTTCTCTGGCGGTGTTGATGTAGAAGTCTAAATCACGTCTATGCAACTCCACTGGGTGTAAGGTGCCGGCTATAATTTTTAAGTTCATATATATAGCAGAGGGCGAGAACTGCCTCACCCCAGTCATTTCTGCCTGTCCCATCAGGGCACATATACTTCAGGTCTCCTCACTGATATAGAGCCATCTTGCAGGAGCCTAGGAGTGACATGGTCTTCTGTGACAGTCCCCGTCTTAAGAAACAGTATTTCCCACCCCCGCCCCAGATCTAAATGGTTCTTACCCTCATGGCCTTTCAAAAGGTTATGAAATCCTGGTTACCCCTCCATCATGAGAACCAGGTTGTTAGCAGAGGCCAATATTCATTCTTTTGAGACTGTATTTGGGAAGTGCAACTTAACAGTAACAGAGTTGGAAGGGACCTTGGAGGTCATCTAGTCCAATCCCCTGCTCACGCAGGTGACCTATATTAGAAATTTGAACTGTTGAACTGCCGACCTTTCTGATAGACAAGCTCAGCATCTTAGCCACTGAGCCACCTAGTCAGGCAGTGCTTTGACTGCTGCTTTATATTGGTTGTTTGTTTAAGATGGGTATAAATTTTCTAAACAAACAAATACCTTCAAGCTCCCCTTCCCTTTCCAGATCAATAATTTATGTTCTCTCATTATTTTGCAGAACTGTTTTCCAAACCGATGTTAGTGGTTAATAAAACCAAATGGGACGAAAACAGCATCGTAGAAATTCATTGTCAAGTGAATGGTTCAATGCTGATTAGTCTCTCACTCATAAAGGACAACAAAATATTGGTAAACTCCAGCATTTACAGGACTAAACTCCGTGTATCTGACAGTGGAAGCTATATGTGCAGAGCAGAGATAAACAACATTTCCAAGGAAAGTGACCCAGTGTTTCTCCATGTTTATGGTAGGTTGATTTAAAGATGTTAAATTCTCTGTTTTTCCTTCTGCCTTCTCTAACCTGGAGCTCTTCTAGATATAAATAAAGGAGAATATTTGTAGCTCAGGGTTCAAAATGAAGCTCAGAGGGCATCAAGGAGCCCTCTTTTGATATGGCGAAAGTCAGGATAACTAGTCTTGGAAATCTTAGCTGGCATGTCCAATGCATTTAGAAAAGCCAAGACTAAGTTAGGCTTTCTTATCTGATAAATAGGAAATATTTATACACTGCATACAAGCCTTTCTGCAACTTTATGGTACAGGTAATCCTCAACTTATGATCAGTTGCTTAGCAACTGCTCAAAGTTATGATGAAGCCTCAAAAGCTATTTAAGACCTGGTTCCAAATCCCCGACACCGCCCCCCCCCAGCAGTCACATGACCCCTTTTGGTCCATTTTTCAACTAGCCCACATTTACAGCTGTTTGTGGTGCACCATGGTCATGTGACCAAGCTTTACAGCAACGTACAATTACTCATGCTTCATTAAATGAATCAGCTCATCTGTGTCCTGTGATAGTGCATTTTTATCACGTGCCACCTTCTTAAAGAATACAGTAATCCTCGACGTACGACCACAATGGAGCCCAAAATGTCTTTTGTGAAGTGGGACATTCGCTAAATGAATTTTGCTCCATGTTATGACCTTTCTTGCCAAAGGTGTTGAGTGAATCACTGCAGTTGATCAGTTGGTAGCTCAGTTGTTAAGTGAATTTGGCTTCCCCATTGACTTTGCTTGTCAGAAGGTCACAAAAGGTGATCACAAGACCCTGGGACACTGCAATGGTCATCCGTATGAACCAGTTGCCAAGCATCTGTATTTTGATCACATGATCATGGGGATGCTACAAAGATTGTAAACTGTGAAAAACAATTATAAGTCACTTTTTTCAGTGCTGTTGTAACTTTGAACGGTCACTAAATGAACTGTTGTAAGTTGAGGACTACCTGTATTTCTGGACCACTACAGACTGCACTTTCATTTTCTATTTTTGGAACTAACTGCCGTGTATTGAAACAGGGTTGTTTTAATATTTCAAGTGCCATTAATCTCCCACTGTGTATGATAGGCAGCAAATAAATTTAGTTAGTTATTTAATTAATAAATAATACTCGGTTTCTCTACAGCTCCAGTTTCTCTGCCTGTCCTTTCTCAACCATTTTCCCAAGTCGCTGTACGGGAGAAGTTCTTCGTCTTACAATGCTACTCAAGCTTTGGGACTCTGCCTATCACATACTCCCTTTACAGAGGGAATATAAATATCAGGCAGATTGTGATTGAAGAGAATGTACCAGCAAATTTTACGGTCAAAGCCTCTAGCATCCACGAGTCTGGACAATACAGGTGCCATGCTAACAACGGCCACTCTCTTTCACACCAAAGCAAAACGCTAAATGTCACTATAATAGGTAACTATTTGCTATTTGCTATGTGTTTTGTTTTTTGTTTTGGCAAGAATCGCTGTTTGTCTGAATCTGAATATACCTGAAGGCTGCCAGGTTGGGAAATCTGATCTGCGGAAATTATTGATTTCCTAAGGTTCCGTTGAAAAATCTTAGCACTCTTATGTTGCTTTTTTTTTTAAAGATCCTAATATAGACAGGAATTCCTTGCCTTTGCATGCTGTCTGGAAATAGATTCCGTTGGAGATGACAGAGCTTCATGTTTACCTACAGCAAGGGTGTCAAACCTGTGACGACAACGTGTATCACAACTTTTCCTCCGTTCAATGAACCGGGATGGGGGGTGGGGGCCAGCGCATGATGCATCTGGCCCACAGGCCGCAAGTTTGACACCCCTGACCTACAGCAACTCCATTTTTTTACACATAAGCCCAATTCCCAGCCAGTCTAATGGTGAAAGCAGCAGAGTAGAAAGTGGGAGACCCTGAGTTCTAATTCCACCTTAGGCATGAAAGCCATCTGGGTGACCTTGGGCCGGTCCCTCTCTTTTAGCCCAAGCCACCTTACAGAGGTTGTTGTTGTGGGGAAAACAGGAGGAGGAAGGTATTGCTGTGGTCCGCCAGCTTCCAGCAGAGCTGGCAGCAGACTCCGACAACGAGGAGGTTGGGGAGGAACTTGGGCCCATCCTGGAGTCTGGGGAAGGTTCTGATGAGGGCTCTGTGTCGGAAGCAGAGATAGAGCCAGGGCTGCCCAACATTTCCCACCTGCCTTCAGAGTCAGAGATAAGTGGGGAAGAAGAACAGCTGGGGGCTGTGCGTGTATGCACAGAGCTGTCAGAAGAGGAGAACAACTGAGGAACAGGAGCCAACTTGGGAAGAAATGGTTGGTTTGTACCGGTGTTACTACTGGTTCAGCTCAACCGGGAGCAACCCACCTCTGACGTGAATGCTGAATGGCCCCACCCTGTCTGGGGAATAAATAGAAGCAAAAGGGGAGTGGTGGTTGTAGGAGACAACAGTTCGGATTTATTTTGGAAGATTTGCTTATCGGTGGTTCGTGCCTCAGAGACTGCTTGCCAGGAATTAATTTACAGCTTTGTGACAGGAAGATCTTGGCCAGGCAATTATCAAAGGAACTGATAAGGTCTGTTACTGCAATTTATCCTTGGAAGGATTATTGCCTGGATTTTTCTGTGTGTGAATGCCATGAATTCACAGTAGCTAAAGAAAGAAGGGGTTTTCGGGACAAGGAGTCTGTTTCTTGGTTCTGCTAAGGCTGGGTCAGAACAGGTATGTTGGATATATTTGCTACCTTGAGATATTTGTACAAATGATGAAAGCAGGATATTAAATAAATAAATAAATAACAAAACATAGTTGGGAAGGATTGTGACCTTTGCTAAACCCAGTTTAATCTGCTGCTGACTTCTGTCAATGTACTTTCATCCACAGCCCCAGTTGCTAACATAACCTTTGAAAGAAAACCACAGGAGAACATAGAAGATGGCAATGAACTCTTATTTTTCTGCTCGGTTGAATCAGGATCTTTCCCTATTGAGTTCCACATTTTTAAAGAAAATGACGGCAAATCCTTACGCCAGTTCATGGAAAACAAAAAACGGACAGTTATTTGGCACAGGGACAGCTTCACAAGCCAGGATGAAGGGAGTTACTTCTGCAGAGCTGACAACCAAGCAAAATCTTTTGTGGAAAGCCAGAAGATCCTAGTCAAGGGTATGTCCTGCTCCTGAGCACAGAAGACAAACTGTATCGGCCTTGCTTTCTGTGGTGGATTCCTACTGGCTCGGACCAGTTCGGCTGAACTGTTAGTGGTATGGGAGCCTGGGTCGCTGGAACCGGCAGCGGCCCAGGCCTGCCACAACCCAGAACCAGTTCCCCGGTCTCTTCTGCCGTTGCCAGCATATTTCTGCGTATCCGCAGAACAGTTTTCAGTCAACTGCACATGGGTAGCAATGCACAGCGCGCACATGCGTGAGTGAAGAAAGCAAAATGCCCTCTTAGTGAACTCATAGTAAACCGGTTAGGAGCCCACCACTGATTAGCCACCATGGTGATAAACACACATTGTGTCATCATGACACAAGGCGTAGATATCACACTTGATGAGGTAAAATTTAACTACGTAATACCTCCGAGAAGTGCTAAGAACCGCTTGGTTAGTACAAGGGTACAAAAGAAAGAATTAAAGTGTGTATTTGCACCACAAGAGGAGAAGGGACAATTTTTTTCTGCATTTCTGAAAACATTTTCTTAGAACAAGCTTTCAGATTCTGTTCTGTACAGGTGGTCGTTGATTTACCACAGTTTGTTTTAGTGACTGTTCAAAGTTACAACAGCACTGAAAAAAGTGATTCATGACTGTTTTTCACAGTTACAACCATTGCAGGATCCCCATGGTCATGTGATCAAAATTCAGGTGCTTGGCAACTAGTTCCTATTTATGACCGTCGCTGTGTCCCAAAGTCATGTGATCCCCTTTTGTGATCTTCTGACAAGCAAACTCAATGAGGAAGCTGGATTCACTTTAACAACTGTGTTACTAACTTATCAACTGCAGTGATTCACTTAACAACTTTGGCACAAAAGGTCACAAAATGAGGCAAAACTCACTTAACAAATGTCTTACTTAACAACAGAAATTTTGGGGTCAGTTGTGGACCTAAGTTGAGGACTACATAATATTCCAAATGCCAGGATGAAGCTTAGATAGGATCTGACAGGAAACATGAATTATTCCAGATTTCAAACGACTGCACAGATACGACCACAACTGCACCCAAAATTTCCATTGCTAAGCAAGGCAGTTATTAATTGAGTTTTGAATCACTTTACGGCCTTTTTTGCCAGACGTTAAATGCATCACTGAAGTTATTAAGTGAATCACATGGTTGTTAAGTGAATCTGGCTCCCCCCCCCTTGATTTTGCTTGTCAGATGATGACCGGGAAGGTTGCAAAAGCTGATCACATGACCTCAGGATAGTGCAACTGTCATAAATATGTATCAGTTGCCAAGAGTTTGAATTTTTGATCACATGCTGCAATGGTCCTAAGTGTGAAAAATGGTCATAAATCACATTTTTCAGTATGGCCGTAACTTCTAATAGCCACTAAATGGATGGTTGTAAGTCAAGGGCTACCTCTAATAACTCTTCAGTGACATAGATATGGGGCAAGTGATGGAACTACATGTACCACTGTATTACCACATAAATACTGCCCTCTATAGACAAAAGGAGATAATTTGCATCCTGATGCACATTTTCTCCCTTTAGTGTTAGATTAGAAGCTGATACTTGTATATCTAGGAATGTAATGTACCAATGCAAAGAAGTTTATGTTCTTTCATATCAACCAGTGGTGGGATTCAGCCAGCTCGCACCTATTTGGGAGAACCGGTTGTTAACTTTCTAAGCAGTTTGGAGAACCGGTTGTTGGAAGAAATCTCCTTTTGTTTTTTTCCCACTTTACAGGGCTAATCCTGTAAGGAAGGCAGGAAGGAAACATTCTGGTGTTGTTTCTAGCCTCATCTTTATTGCCCTGCTTACAGAAACTGCCTCTCCGGTTACAATGTCATAATGTCCCTTATGACATTGTAACC